ACATAAATCGAGCACCTCGACCCGGCTATTATTTTTTGCTGCTGCACAGACTGAGGTTGTCGGCGAATGATTCCACAGAACGGTCAATTTGAATTGAATTTATATTGTACAACTCAATATGTAAGTCAAACTTACCTCTGTCACAAAAAATGGTTTCAGTTATTTGATCTTATGCAATACTGGAGGGTTCAGCCAATAATGTAGATAAAGCTAAAATTGATAAGGCACTTATTATTCGTACATCCCTGGTTAGAGCACTTTTTGTTGAAATTCAAACCAATCAGAGCATATATGCGTATTTGATATTTCTAAGAAATAGAAGTACAGCTTTTTTTTGTATAATTTTGCAAAGATTTCTGGAAAAAAAAACGAGAAATTCAGTTGCATAATTGAAATTCTGCTCTATGAAATTTTCTGCTCTTTAAGCCAAATTCTGCTGCTAGTAGAACCCTTTAGGATTTAGATTTGTTTCATTCAGTTCCATGTCTCCGTTACTCTGCGCTAGGCAAATAACACGACATGGCATTAAGACGACAAATGAGTATCAAAAATGTAAATTGAACTGTTCTCGAATTATATTTATCAGAAAACTAATTTGAATCTTTGTGTAGCGTCTTCTTCAAGTCGTACCAAAAGCAGTTGTCGTCATAACAGCTGTCGTCTTAATTTTTGGAAGCCCAGTTACTCGTGTAGCTAAAAAATTTTATGCGAAAACTATTTAATTTTATGAAATAAGTAGTTAAAAATGCCGGAATCTTGTCTAGGCAAAACAAGTATGGGATTAAAAGTAGTGGTACAATATTCATTTGAAGATAGCCTTCGAGTGTTCCTCAAAATTTTTCGAACATTCGCCGAACGTTCGTTATTTCAATCAAATTTTCTGTATTCTTGAGAGAAAATAGGTCTAAATTTAAACGAAAATAATTGATTTCCATTAAATGCAGTTTTTTTTTGTTTACAGCGTTTCCAGCCGAGCTGAAAATACGCTCTGTTGGATCAAAGCGGCTTCAATTTGTTACTAGCTGTTTGTTTTGTCGCTCTCTAGGCAAAGCCATAACGCTAATTAGGGTAAAAAACTCAATAACATGCATGTCAAATAACAATAAACGTTCGCAGCAGCCTTTGAAATTTTTTCCACGAGTGAACGTCAAACTTTCGGTTGCACCACTAGTTGAAAGGGTCAGCTTGGAAGTTAAATGTCATTAGTTGAAGTTTATTAATTGAATTGGAGATTGTCAGATTTAGAATGATTGCTGGGTGTCGGGGATCAACCGTACAAATTTTACGTCTGTCAGTAAGTCGGCCGAAATTAGATGTCATAAAATATTACCAATGTGGTAGTCGGACTTTTGTTAATTAATTCAATGAGAGCAGTGTATTGGCCACTCAAATCTCTAAGAAATAGCTGTTATAGAAGTACAGCTTTTTTTTGTCTAATTTTGGAAAGATTTCTGGAAAAAAAAACGATAAATTCAGTTGCATGATTGAAATTCTGCTCTATGAAATTTTCTGCTCTTTAAGCCAAATTCTGCTGCTAGTAGAACCCTTTAGGATTTGGATTTGTTTCATTCAGTTCCATGTCTCCGTTACTCTGCGCTAGGCAAATAAGACGACATGGCATTAAGACGACAAATGAGTATCAAAAATGTAAATTGAACTGTTCTCGAATTATATTAGTGAGAAAACTAATTTGAATCTTTGTGTAGCGTCTTCTTCAAGTCGTACCAAAAGCAGTTGTCGTCATAACAGCTGTCATCTTAATTTTTGGAAGCCCAGTTACTCGTGTAGCTAAAAAATGTTATGCGAAAACTATTTAATTTTATGAAATAAGTAGTTAAAAATGCCTGAATCTTGTCTAGGCAAATAAGTATGGGATTAAAAGTAGTGGTACAATATTCGTTTGAAGATAGCCTTCGAGTGTTCCTCAGAAATTTTCGAACGTTCGTTATTTCAATCAAATTTTCTGCATTCTTGAGAGAAAATAGGTCTAAATTTAAACGAAAATAATTGATTTCCAGTAAATGCAGTTTTTTCTTGTTTACAGCGTTTCCAGCTGAGCTGAAAACCCGCTCTGATGGATCAAAGCAGCTTCAATTTGTTACTAGCTGCTTGTTTTGTCGCTCTCTAGACAAAGCAATAACGCTAATTAGGGTAAAAAACTCAATAACATGCTTGTCAAATAACAATAAACATTCGCAGCAGCCTTTGAAAGTTTTTCCACGAGTGAACGTCAAATTTTCGGTTGCACCACTAGTTGAAAGGGTCAGCTTGGAAGTTAAATGTCATTAATTGAAGTTTATTAAACGAATTGGAGATTCTCAGATTTAGAATGATTGCTGGGTGTCGGGGATCAACCGTACAAATTTTACGTCTGTCAGTTTGTCGGCCGAAATTAGATGTCATAAAATATTACCAATGTGGTAGTCGGACTTTTGTTAATTAATTCAATGAGAGCAGTGTATTGGCCACTCAAATCTCTTTAAGAAAAAATTGGGAGTTTTGTTAGCTAACAGGCTGCAAAATTTTGAGGCACTTTTTTGGCCAATCAAACTGCCTCTCAATTTAGTGACGAGTTTTCTGATTTTATTAAAACCGTAGGTATTTAGTTTTTTTCGGCTATCCGAGAATGCGGCTCCGTGGGTACGCACCTTGTTATTTTTAGCCATCTTTATAAAGTGCTACTACCTTTGCAAGAATACAGAGTATTGCTATTTCTATGCTCTTGTTAAAAAGAAGCAGCAAATACATCGGACTTACAATTTCAATAATTTAGAGTTCGATAATTTATCAGAGTCTGCTGACGTATTTATTGGACAATTTCGAAATAGCTTCAAAAATTTCAGAAAGATGAATGGGCCTTCAACTTGAAAGATTTTTATTGAAAGAAGGAAGGTTAAAATTGGTTTGAATTTTAGAATGTGCTGCTAGGTTTTGGCCAACTGTAGTAAAAAGCTCATTCAATTTATTAGCGTTCGTATTAGATTCTTCTTCTTTTAGTCTATCAGTATTGCGATTGAACAGAATGTTATTGAAGAGATTCAACAGCTCTTTCCCTTTTTGAAACGTTCTGACTTATTACCATAAAAACTGTGCTTAACTTTTCGGAAAAATTGATTTAACTTTTTTCGTTTGCTCAATTTTTTCGTACATCAAAATTGTCTTGATGGGTTGCCTCTTATCTGCTCATGAATAGTTACCAGCATTGTAATTTCGTGGTTTTTTCACGTTTAGTTTTTTGCCGAAGACTTTTCAACGCTCCCATTTTTATCTAAGCCTTTCAAGTTACTTAGCAAATCGAGAAGGAAACTATCATGCTTAATTGGATCATTCAATTGACTCAATGGTCGACTCAGCTGCCGTTGAAAAATGATTGAAACAGAATCACAAAAAATGCTGAGAATTTGATCTATAGATGTTAAAGGTTCAGCTGTTTGCCTTGTTATCATCGACAGTGTGAATTTTGTAGTTGTATCAAAATACGAGCATCCTTAAACACGAGCACAGTGTTGGTTGTCGTTGCTTATGTTTCTTTTTGAAACGCAAATTAGAACGACTTGATTTTAGCATCATGATTTCAAGGCTTGAAAAAGATTTCCTCAATTAATTCGGCAAGCTGTATAAACAGATTTTGTTTATCATGATAACTTATCAGTTTAGTGTGATGCATACTGCCTCCAGGTCACTATTACATTAAAAGTTACAAAAGTTCCGCACATATGTTTGGCGAACATATATGGCCTTTTGATTCTGTGTTGATAACAACCGGAAGCCAGAAGTTATCAAGACAAAACTGTGAACTGTGTTTCACTTTTGCAATTACAAAGGGTAATGCCTTCAAAGTGGTTATGTCAGCTTACAGTTCCAGGTAGTAACGCCTTAGAGATCGTATTTTTAAATATAGCAGTTTGCTTGGGTCTTTTATTCATTGACATCATTTAGAGCATTTGTGGGGGGGGGGGGGGGGTAGAATTAAGATTTGGGTTCTTTTGTTCGCCTTCTTGAATTCTACAGACCTCAGTTTCCAGCAGCTGTGCTCTTTCTCCATTTGTTTCCCTCGGACGTTTGATGAAATTTCAGTTGCCACCAATTTTTTCTCGTTCACTGTTACTAACTTTGATTGAGGACACTGTCTTTTTCTTTCTGGGTCGCTCTAGACTAGCTCTTTAAGAGGTCTTCGGTTGCGCACGGGAATCGCAGTTCGAGAATCATCATCGTTTTGATGGTCTAGATGCTTGACTGGAATCCCTCGACGATGATATATATTGTTTTTGTCCTCGAATTATATAAATTTAACCTTGACGTTAGGGGAAGCATTCCGCTTCTTTTGTTGAGAGGGTAACAAGAAAAGACGAGAAGAACTCGCATATACTTTTTCTGAGGCTGTCGATGTGCAATTCCGCAATTTCATCTATAATGAAGTATTTTGAACTTTATCGTTCCTGCTCTGATATCCGTAGTTCTAGTAGGTTTGTAACTTCCTTCTCCAGTGTCATTTTCCTCTTTGTTTCTTGATTCCTTTGTCTTTGTTTCGGAGAGTAATTTTCTGAATGAATATCCTTTACCGATTGATCAGCATTTGCTTATTAAATTTTTTCGAACATTTAATTGATCGTCATTCCGCCATCAGAAGTTTAGTAAAAAGTCTATCACAACAACTAGGCGATATTGTTTTAGGATATTTTTAAGCATAGTTAATAGGAAAAGATTCGGTGATATATTACAATAGGTGGTAATTTTGACTAGAGAGCATATATTAAATTTGAGATGTACAATGCAAAATATAGTCAAAACATCTAGAATCACTTGTACTAACGCTAAGATAGTTTTTCTAAATAAATTACTCTGCCAAATGAAATGTTATTCAAAAATTCACATTTAACACTTCTTTTGCCTAAAAAGTTGGCTTTTGAAATAATTTTTAAATAATGAGTGAAGTATAACAAAAAGCGATCGAGCTATCGAAGTTGAAGCAACCACCTATTGTAATATATCACCACACATTCTTGTTTAGATTCCAATTTGAATCAATTTGGCTTTTAAGAAACTTAATCAAAAAGATCAATGGCTATTTGAAACATTGTAGTTTGTTTTTCACTACTAATAATAGGTTAAGTGATAATTCAACGGGGACGGGGACCTAACACAACGGTTAGGCAAATCTGAATTTTACCTAGTAACGATTATCTACCCTTCTCCATTGCTATAGGGTGGAGGGTGATGGCTTGGTTAAAGAACTTTTTTTTCACCTTAAAACTAACAATTTATTCTCAGAAGGTCGGAGTAATAATCTCAGTATAGTTTCAGTTTCTAAGATGGTCAGAAATACAGTTTTCTTTGTTGGTGGTGTTTGGTGTGCTGTATGTTCGCAAGTAGCGCCAACTCATTGCTATCAGAAAATATACAACGGATAATTTACTATCGCTTTCGTACGTATTTCTGAGGAATTCAAATGGTTACTGGTGCTGTAATTTAATTCCTTTTCTATCTATGCAGTGTTGTAGAACGAGCCTTATGCGTCTAAAAACAAAATTGTACATTTCTGAGAAATAGTTCAATGTTTAAAAATACGTGCTGTTGAATTTACTTTGTGCGATCAGTTAGATATTAAACTACGTCGGGTGAAAAAAGCATATTTTAAGAAGTTGGAGTTATAGTTCTAGAAACGTCTCAAAATGTAAGAGTTTGCGTTCAGTTTTTATTCAATCAATCTGAAAGCTAAAAACAGCTAAATTCTTGAAGAAGTTAAAGCATTGAGTCGACGAAAACCCGGACGAAAAGAGTCGGAACAAACAAACTTCATTTCTAGGTTGACTGTTATTGTTTGTCATCTAAGTTAATTGTCCTGACTGTTCTCATGGGGACAAACTATTGATTCTGCTCTGTAAACTGAAAAGAGACTGCTAGTTAACTCACCTGTGCGCAATCATTTCGTGTTATTTTCAATCGTATCAGCTGAGTGTTGAGTGAGTTGTGGTGTTGTGGGCCATCTCTTGATCTAGTTTGATCATGCCGAAAGGGGGAAACAGAGGCAGAGGAGGAGGAGGAGGAGGAAATTATCAGCAGGATAATCAAAACACAAGTGAGTAGTTCATACTATCGTAGTTCTGCTGCTTTAGAAAAAAATGTTTTCATTTATCATGTGTGTGTGTATCACAAAAGAAACCGTTTTAATCGCTTTTCAAGAAAAAAGTCAACTTGGAACACGAACTGAGCACTTTCAGGATGTAAACTAGTAGATTAGTAGAGTTGCGGGCTGGGGGGGGGGGGGGAGCGCTCAACAGTGCCGAAACTGAAAATGTGTTCAACAGAGTCGAAAATGAAGATATTCGAAAATGAGTTCCGTTGGCGAGTTGTTGATAATTTGTTTGGTGACCGGAAAATAAGGCGACAGCCGTTAAGGCGAAAACCGTTTTTGATGGGACTTAAACGACAAGGCGAAATGATTGTTTTAACACGCGAATTGCATTTCTGAGAACTACAAAACGCAAAATGATTGTTTTGAGCAGGGCATATCAAAATACTATTGCAATATTATTGCTTTCCGAATTTTTTGGCAATAAAATTTTTTTTTTTCACATTTGCTATATATAATATTGCAATATATTGCAATACTTCCGAGAAAAAAAAATGCAAGAAACAATGAATTGGAAACAACTATAAAAATTATTTTTGTCAAAACATTCTTTCACGGTATTAATGTCCCAAAATTTATGATTGTAATGAAGAGAAAATTGCATTTCCAGATTAGCAGGCAGCATACTTTTCCGATAATCATTATAAGCATAACCAGCTTTGCTGAAAAATCTTTCGGGAATATTTGAAGTCGGTGTAATAAATTCCGTTCTCATGAATCTGCAACTGGTCGACAACTGAAGTTTTCGTTTTTTGAGAGCATTGTTTGCAAAATCATCATCTTCCGTACTGGAAGTATCGGACGGGGCGACCAATAATTGAAGTGGTTCTGCGGCCTCCAATTCAATGTACGTCAATTCACCGGCTTTACCATTCTGAATTTTGATAATGGCGTTTTCAAATTAATTGTCTTCTTTTTGACCTAAATAACGAACTGTTTCCGGAAACTTTTCAAGAAAAAGATCGAATAAGTAGCGAACATCAGCTATAGTAGTCGAATTAGCTTGTAATTCAATGCAAGTTGAGTTGAATATCTTCAATTTGACTAGAAGAGAAATTGCATTTTTTTTCTTGAATTGGGGTCAATAGCATATCGTGCAAATTTTCATTCCCAAAACTTGACTGATAAAATGCTTATTTTCCAAATAACGAGAAAGCATATTGTATACACTGGACCATCGTGTAGGTGCCCGCAGTACCGGAGAAAGGTTCGTTAACGCACGTAATTTTCCCGCCATTTTTAGCTGGCGCAGTCTGACCATCATGGCGTGAATTCGATCAATAATATCGGAAAACTCCGAACAAAACTCACCCGACCGCCAGGTTTAGTTTGAGAAGCACAACCTAACATTGGAACTCCAAGTAACTCTGCAACTTTTTCGTTAATCGAGCAGTTGTCTGAAATTATGCAAGTGATGCAAACCATCTTTTTTCTGTAAACTTTTGTCACTACCCAGTTAATGAAATTAACGTGTTGATCTGCCCCGAAATTTGTTTCATCAATAAAGGGGGAAAAAGCTAGTAATGTGTTTTCAGGATCCCCTAGCCCGGTGCTGTAACTAGCAAATAACCCAATACAATGTGTTGTTCCCGCAGACCAGCCGTCCATAATTAATGCAAATTTCTCTGAAAGTCTGGAAGCGACTTTTTCTTCTACTCTTTTCGCAATGCATTCCATGTATTTTTTGAGAGAATTAACTGAAATTTTTGGTAATTTCGACTATTTGCGGGTACAAACCTCTTCAACGAAACTGAATGGCTTCAGATGAATTGCAACCCAATCAACTCATCCATGAATATTCTTGGTTTTCTCGGAATGACCTGATATTGTTCGATAGAAATTGGTAATATTCTGCTGGTTTAAGTTTCCATCTAAAGGGGTTTCTTTTAACAGTTTGTATTCTTCTTGATGTGAATGCTCAATGTGATCAATCAAGTTTTGCCACCCCGATTTGTCTTTGCGAGTTCTTTGATTCCCACATTTACATTCATATCTGTCGTTTTCACAAGGCAGAAGAGAATAAAACGTAAGAGTAATTTCCTTATTTGATCTGTACTTAACTTTAGCTGTCATTTTGATGTGAACCATAAAATATGTACTTGGACACGTGTAATATGTGCAATTTGCAACGTTAGCCAATTGCATTCGAGCTAACCAGACAAGCAGTCGCCACGCAATTATGCCGTGCCAGGTATAAATGGCGGGAAAATTACGTGCATTTAACCTAAACGCTGCTTTATTAATCAATTTAAGTGTTGCAATACATCTGAAGCCATTCAGTTTCGTTGAAGAGGTTCGTACCCGAAAATATTCGAATTTACCAGAAATTTCAGTTAACTCTCAAAAAGTACATAGAATGCATTGCAAAAAGAGTAGAAGAAAAAGTCACTTCTAGAGAAATTTGCATTAATTATGGACGGCTGGTCTGCGGGAACAACACATTTCTTTGGGTTATTTGCTAGTTACTGCAACGGGCTAGGGGATCCTGAAAGCACCTTTCTAGCTTTTTCCCCTTTATTGATGAAACAAATTTCGGGTCAGATCAACACGTTAACTTCATTAACTGGGTAGTGACAAAAGTTAACAGAAAAGAGATGGTTTGCATCACTTGCATATTTTCAGACAACTGCTCAACTAACAAAAAAGTTGCAGAGTTACTTGGACTTCCAATGTTAGGTTGGGCTTCTCACAAACTAAACCTGGCGGTCGGTGAGTTTTGTTCGGAGTTTTCGGACATTATTGATCGAATTCACGCCATGATGGTCAGACTGCGCCAGCTAAAAATGGCGGGAAAACTACGTGCGTTAACGAACTTTTTTCCGGTACTGTGGGCACCTACACGATGGTCCAGTGTATACAATATGCTTTCTCGTTATGTGGAAATTAAGCATTTTATCAGTCAAGTTTTTGGCAATGAAAATTTGCACGATATGCTATTGACCCCAATTCAAGAAAAAAATGCAATTTCTCTTCTAATCAAATTGAAGATATTCAACTCAACTTGCATTGAATTACAAGCTAATTCGACTACTATAGCTGATGTTCGCTACTTATTCGATCTTTTTCTTGAAAAGTTTCCGGAAACAGTTCGTTATTTAGGTCAAAAAGAAGACAATTAATTTGAAAACGCCATTATCAAAATTCAGAATGGTAAAGCCGGTGAATTGACGTACAATGAATTGGAGGCCGCAAAACCACTTCAATTATTGGTCGCCCCGTCCGATACTTCCAGTACGGAAGATGATGATTTTGCAAAAAATGCTCTCCAAAAACGAAAACTTCAGTTGTCGACCAGTTGCAGATTCATGAGAACGGAATTTATTACACCGACTTCAAATATTCCCGAAAGATTTTTCAGCAAAGCTGGTTATGTTTATAATGATTATCGAAAAAGTATGCTGCCTGCTAATCTAGAAATGCAACTTTTTCTTCATTACAATCATAATTTGGGACATTAATACCGTGAAAGAATGTGTTGACAAAAATATTTTTTATAGTTGTTTCCAATTCATTGTTTCTTGCATTTTTCTTCTCGGAAGTATTGCAATATATTGCAATATTGTATTGCAAATGTGAAAAAAAAACAATATTTTATTGCCAAAAAATTCGCAAAGCAATAATATTGCAATAGTATTTTGATATGCCCTGCTCAGGAATACAAAACAGTAATTTTAACAATTAGACAGGCATCAACCATTTTCTCCCGTGTTCTGGTCAAAATTATGCAGCTAAATGAGAAAATAACTCGGCTAAAATTCTCCTATGTAGGTGGTTCGCTATCTGTCAAAACTTGTAGCAGTGTATTGTGGAGTACTGTAAACTTACTGTGGAGCTAGTGTTTTAGTACAAACTTTCTTTTTTTCCAACCTAAAGCGCAAATATTGGTGCGGCACCCCCATAATGGTGGGGCACCTTTACAGTTTTTTAATAGCATGTGCTTTGACATTCGAATAGTAATAAATTAACACAGTTGGTGCATTTTTATATCGTAAAATGGAGCGAAAAAAAACCTTTATTTTCTACTAACATCACAATAGAAAATGGATTTCAGAAATTTTCTAACTCAATATATCTTGCAATTTTTTGAAATGCGTAATTTATACATAATGTGGCCATATGTTTTGCGATTTATTTTATGCAAAATTATTGTGGATGCCTTCAGTTGGTTATATTCCAAATTATTAATGGCAAAATTGAGTGTATTTGTATTTGGTGCTGAATCGCTTGGCAATTCTTTAGCATTTGTAGCTGCTTTATTCGTGACTAGTGTTTGTCGGTTGCTAAGCTTGAGTGGCTGAAGGGATAGTGCGCGAGATTCAAATTTTCTTGGTTGCAGTTGTTCGCAGAATCGAATCCTACAGGTAGCTGAGTTTTTGCTAATTCGAGGCTTGTTTCTACTTTTTATTTAATTTGATAGAGCTGCATTTTGGTCTTGTTCTCGCAAATGTATGCGAAGAGCAGTTTTTCCCCTGTGTACTTTTTCCAATCTGTATTTTTTCTAGTACTCAATAAATTTCGTCTCTCCCGGGCTGAGGTTTTGACTCGTGATTCAGTCGACACGGTCGAACGATGTCCGATTTTCGTCGCAAATTCAGACGGTCGAATGCTGGCTATAGTTGAACAAAGGCCGGAGTCATGAGTCGGACAGGGTCGAGTCATGGGTCGAACAGTGTCGAATAATGGGTCGAACAAGGTCGAATGAATAGGTACAAATCATGGGTCGAACAGGGTCAAATCATTTGTTGAACGGAGTCAATCATGAGTCGAACAGTGTCGAATCATTTGTTGAACGGAGTCAATCATTAGTCGAACAGGGTCGAATCATAAGTCGAACGGTCAAATCATGAGGCGAACAGTGTCGAATCATGAGTCGAATAGTGTTGAACAGGGTCGAATCATGAGTCAAACGGGTTCGAATCAGGGTCGAGCGAGCAGGGGCAAACCAT